ATGACGTAAGTTTAATTGTTTAATTTTATTCTAGTCAACTAAATTTTATAGAGAAAGAAATATATAGATGACTCAGTTTTTACATATAGTGTGGGATAAATAAAAAGTATAATTGCAACTGATTAAATTAAATTTCCCCCCTCTTAAGTTTGGCCACTTGTCGGATATCATAACCCATATATAAATCCTGATTTTCTAATAAATGATTTACTAAAAAAAATGTGTCTTAAAACTTATTTAGAAAACTAATTACTTATTCACATAAAAGCTATCCTTCACTAAGCTTTTCTTAAGTAATCGACTAAAGAGTCACTGCCCTCCATCGATAAGGTGCTTTGTAGAGGCAGCTTGAACGTCAGTGGAGAAGAATTCGAATGATGAGAAGCGCGGGTGGCAGTGGCACGTAAAACTGGTCGGTGGGAATGTCTTTTCCTGAGGATGATGGCAGAAGGAAAAGGCAGGAGACTTTCGGACATCTTGATCAGCCTGGCGTCTCAAAACTTGGATGATGATGGGCGAAGATTTCATACAATTAACTCTGATGCCTAAGGACTAATAACAAATCTGCTCAATTATCCCGCACATGGTTCTTCATGCGTGCAAGAAGACGATATTTCCGCTGTCCCGGGCAGAAGGTATCTTCACCATTGTTTAATATAGGGATGGATGGGGTTGGTCTAACTGACGAATGTAAATCCAAAAATGTTCCTGCAGCTTTTCCGAGTTACCCATCGTTCGCCAGGGCGCAAGAGTGTCGTGGCATAAGGCACCATTATGCAGTTCGGTGTCAAGAAGAATACAGCGGTCATCAAGGCTTCAGGGACACCCATGTGAAGTTCTTAATCTTGGCGAACAATCGTTAAACTGCACTAAGCTAGCGACACCTTTTCCCCAAGTTGACCATCGCTCGCCACAATACAAGGGTGCCCTGAATTAAAGGCATAAGCAAGCCGGCACCCTTATGAAGCTCCGTACCACGAAGAAAGCAAACTTCACCAAGGCTGCCTGAACCCCAGTTTGAAAGTCTTAATCTTGGTGAATAGTTGCTTACTTGCGTAAAGGTGCCGGCATCTTTATAACATTTTATGAAATCATCCAGGTGACGGGACATGAAAATTCCTTGCTTTTATACCAGGTAACAAAGTAGCATGGAAATTTCCCAAATTCCAAAGCTATCCGGCCCTAGTCATAGCAGTAAAAAGCTATAGTTTATTTTATACATTTTAGCACCCCTATAAGCCTAGTGCGTCAAGTAGCAGCTCGCACAGCTCTCTGCTTAATACGGCAGTGAGCTTATACGAAATGCAAGAATATTGGGAATAATTCCAGGCTCCGGGAATTCATCTTCTTTCTCTAATACAAAATTTTAAATGAGAAGAATATAGAAAAGGGGAAACTTTAAAATGTAATACATATCAGATGTTTCGGATTCACTTAAATACTGTACTGTCGTAAATGACTGAACTCTAAATAGAATGGTTTTTATTTTAATAAAATAGTACACGGTATGATAAGAAAAAGTGAAAATTAGAGGGAAATGACTGGTAGTACAGAACGCAGTTTATCAGTAAACGGTTTAGTTCTCTTTCTTGATCTTTCAGTGCAGTTCAGTTCTTGATCTTTCAGTGCAAATAAGAAAATTTGAAATGATTTGGAATAATTCTGAAGTAATAAGCTCTAGTTTAACTAGCCCTAATACGTGCAGCTTTTAAAAATTAAATACAATTTAAAGATGACTTTATGTCTAATTTTTAATTGATGCGTATAAAGTATATAGTGTATATAGGATCATGTATAAAAACTTCATTACCTTTCTCACAGCTTAAGCTATTAAATGATTTGCAAATGAAAAATGGATTTTAAGTTTAAACATTCTTCCAAAAAGATAGAAAAATAATTTTTGAATATTTTTAGAAGTGGAATTCTGAATATTAGAGCTGTGCGAACTGAGTTATAAACACTTAATGAACTTAAGGGTACTTATGAATACTTACGTGCAAATGTTGACAATTCTGAAATTAGAATGAAAACTTAAGGTTGCATTATTGCCATTTACGACACGAAGAATACATAGCGCCTTAGACGAAGCTATAACAAATGATCGATCGTACAGCCGACCGACCGGGAAAGTGGCTAGTGACTCTGACTGCCAAACCGAAGGGTCCGAGTTCAAATCCTGAAGAAGGCATGGATGTTTGTAAATGCGTAGTGTCTGGATGGCATGGGGGACACTCGAAATATGCGGCGAGCCGAAAGTTCTCTCGAGAGGTTGGTGGTAGAGAAAGAGGGGTGGGAGGCTGTTGGACCCGTACCCCGGGGTGCTCTTCTTCAAAATTGCGGGCAGACTTGATCAAAGTCGTACTGTCACCTGTATGGCGCATTCTTGTCTCCTTGCGATGTGGAATTTCGTGGGCTTGTTCTGATATTAGACAAGCGATATTAGTCACAACAACTGATGATCGTAAGGAATTTCTTTTACTCTTAAAAGTTCGGAGTGATATCGATTGTAATTTCAAATTGTTGTTTATTTGCATTTTTTTTTTATATTGACAATCTAGTAATACGTAAAATACTACAAACTCAAGAACACTGTTTAAAGTAACTTTTAAAAACATTAGTTTTGTACAATGAATTTGAATTACTTTAGCTTAATTTTCAATATTCACACTGTGCTTTACTTTATTTTTCTCGTTTTTTAAAAGTTAAGTTTGATTTGTTTTCAAACTTTTAAAAAACGTATTTTTAAAATTGTTTTTAAGGTGCTTTTGTTATAAAGTCACACCATGTATTTTCGGCGTCCTACTTACTGGTTTATTACTTTAGTTTGGTGCAAGACTGAAATGGAACAATCGAGAAGAGAATTAAGAACCATTCTCGAATTTCGCGATGAAATCCCTCCCCAAATCCTGTGTGTTTTTGGGAGAGAGAGAGTATGTATGAGTGATAGCCAGTAAAGTGGTCAGTAATTGTTGTTTACCGTACCGACGGTCCCGAGCTCGAATCTCGGAGAAGGCATGGATGTTTGTAAGCGTATAAGTGCCTGAACGACAAGGGAGCATTCAAAATACACGGCAAGCAGAAAGTCTTCTCGAGAAGTTGATGTTAGGGGAAGAGGGATGAGAGACCACCATGTATATTCTCTTTAAAAACTTTGCGGAAGCTTAACAGTTAGAGGTTCACCAGCGGCCAAGTCGCTGAACACGGGTAGTTCCGTCTGAGGTTCGAAGCGAACGGTCTGGCTGCATGGTCGTTTTAGAGGTTTTCCAAATGTATAACGTGTATACTAGCACTTTAGGAAGTACTCCACGAAGGCATCTCTCCCTTTAGGCAGATAGCCCTCGAGTGCTTTGCTATAATCAAATACACTAACTTAATATTTAGCAAAGCCCGGCGATAAGTAGTAATATACCTACGGAAATGCCTTGCTTCAACCTACATCTGTGTGTATGTGTGTGGAAAAGAAGAGTATAGCTTAAGTTATTTTGTTCTCTTTGTGACTAAGTACTTATCAGTTTTCACAGTTTGTTGCGTTCTTCGATTTTAGGTTAGATCAATTGAGTACAGCAAAAAAAAAAAAAAAAAAAAAAAAAATCAAGGACTATCTGCCTGTGAGAAAAATGCTTTCTTGGACGACTTCTTAGGGGAAACTGACGCGTATTCTCGTTACACAAGCGGAAAACTCCAAAAACTCGTGTAGCCAACTCCTTCGCTAGATTAGAATTGGGTAAAACTACCTGTGTTCCGATTTTACCGATTGGCCGCTGTTGGGTTCTCAATAGAATTTTATGTTAGGACGAGATAACAACCTATGACGTACGTTTGTTGTGCCTTTATAACTATCAACCGTGGTGTTGCGAGTCATTTGAAGCAAGCTTCGGTTGGCAAAACTCAAGAGATGTTAATTACTGGCATCATAAGTCAATAAACCGTACGGCTGTAACGAAAGGAACGCCTGATTCAACAAACTATGCTTGTGTTCGGACACCTTTTAACCCACCCGGTATGAGGGAAGGCTGCATAGCCAGTTCGGCCTCGATGTCACATTTAAACTTTATAAGGAGTTTTTTCGAACACAGTCCTTTTTTGCGAAGAAATCGCTTGAGAATAAAGGCCAGTCGCTTCTTTCTCAGGAAAAAAAAAAAAAAAAAAAAAAAAAAAAAGAGAGAGAGAGAGCGAGCGAGAGACTGAAAGGAGAGGGAAGCGCTAAGTGGTATTGGCTTTAACGGAAAAGTACTGTTTTTAAAACTTGTTTTTAAAAAGCTAACTACGCTTTTTTTAAACATTTGATATGCGAGTTAAACGTTTGAATTTCTAAATTAAACGTAAGTTGCGAATAATAATTAGACCATAAAGTTCTTAAATAAGGGTATTGTAAGAAGTTTTCAGTAATGTTAAATATCTAACTGAGGATTTAGTTTTCTGAGAGAGTAATATTTCAATTAGTTATGAAGATTTGGAATTGAGCTTTTTGATCATTATTCCTAGACGTAAATAATTCGAATGTTTATGGAATACAGATATTTTAGGACTTAATTAAATTCGCTTTTTTAATCTTCTTGTAAAACACAACAAAGTAATAATAATAATAATAATAATAATAAACATTTACAAAGTGTGAGGCGCTAAAGAACAAAATTTTCTGCGCACATAAATCGCAAGTTGTTCCATTCAGTCCGATCATTTCGCAATGGCACCGCAGCCTGGAACCTATTTGTTTCAGTACTACAACGCAAGTTGTAAAGCCGCCAAAAATAGTTGAAAGCTGATTCATTTCTAGGCCACTAGGTGTCGTGCACTAAGTTTGAGCTCGGAAATTTACTCGAGAAACTAAAGTAACTCCGGTTCATTGATAAAAGAACATATTTAAAATTCCTCTTCGATTCGGATTTTCAAACTCATGTTTAACGGTCGTCTGTCGTTTAAATACTGAGCAATATTTCCTTTCACTCATACTACGTAGTTTTATACGGACAACCACAAAAGGTAACCCGGATGGGCAGTCTTATTAAAATGGAGTAAAAAAGAGTGTTTTTTACGTTTCATATTAATGAGGTTGGCTGCGAGTTTCATTCAGTGGCCGTGTCATCCATTCATAAAAACGTCAGCAGGCGAGGCGGCTTCCCGTTGGTCGATTGTCGAGTGGTTCGTACGCAGTAGGGGCGCTGCGGAGCTCCACCATTCGAGTTATCACTCTCCTCCGAGGCAGTACGTTCCTGTCAGTGCTCTGTTTTCCATCCTGCGTCGCATGGATTTCAGTGGAAAGTATTGGGAATTGTAGAGTGCCGTGTTAGCCCCGCCTTGTCAGGATGCTGGATTAGATGTGGTGAGCTGCTGAGCGAGAACGCTGGGCCTCGGGCCTTGATGGATATTTTGAGCGGGACATCATGTAAAAAGGCGGACGCTTGGTGAGTTTTTCGGAACGCCGCACGTCGTTGGCTACATGGAACAAGATGGCGGAGAAACTGACAATATTGTGGCCGGCCAGCGCGATTTAATAACTCTTGCGCAGCCGAGGCCGGGAGCGGCTCGCAGACAGAATGAATATATCGAGACACCTCTTCGGCCACAGCTTCCGGCTCCCAAAGTTACCAAATCGCGATCAAAAGATGACAACGAGGTATGCCGCGGGAGGCAACCCACCGCTCAGCCGGCGATCACGGCTCAGCCTACGGCTAAGACAGCGAAGGACTCCGTGAATGACGTTGACCAACGGCATAACGATTCTATCATCTGCCGGCAGTGTCGTCGTTGCAAGTGTGAAGCATGCCGGAATCCAAGGCATTTGCCATCTAAATGGATTTGCAATGACAAGTGCTTGTGTTCAGCTGCGAATGTAGTGGATCACTGTTCGTGTATGTGCTGCGTGAGGGGCCTCTTTTATCACTGGGCCAAAGACTACGAGATGGATACTGATGTCTCTTGCGCAGATCAGCCGTGCTCCTGCTCTCCTCACAAGAGGCTACTAAGGTGGGGGTGCCTAGGTCTCTTGGCCTTACCCTTACCGTGCCTATGTTGTTACTGGCCCTTAAGGGGCTGTTTAAAAGCTTGTGAAGGCTGCTATTCCAAATGCATGGGCCACGGATGTCGGTGTGCCCCCCCACACAGGACTGAGCAGGCACCTGAAAAACGACTTTTAGATTCAAACTCAGACTGTTGACTTCTTTATTTCAACAGCTTAGTACCAAAGAGTTTTGCCTCGCAACGACCGGTGTCGTTCTTGTTTGTGTGCTTTTACACGTGTGAATAATTCGTTCGAGTGGTTTCAGTGCTTGTGAGTGCATCAACGCCTTCTGGATGAGTGGGAAAGAACAGCGCCAGTCAGTAAGCATTAAGAACATATTTTTGCAAATCTCTTTTCATTGCTTATAGAACAATTCATAGATGTAGCCATCTCTTGTAATGAGTTTGGAAAGCGAGCTTTTTTTTTCCAACCGCCTGCCCTTTTAAATTATTCCAAATCTTATGTCGGCTTTTAAAATAAATTTAAATTCGAGTTGTAGGCAGCTTTATGCATTTTCCAAATGTATAGTCATCCCTTTTTTGATGTACACTAAGTCACCTTTTCAAAATTTATAATACGGGTTACGTGCTTATGTTTAATATTTGGAGGTGACAATTAAATTCATAAATTCCCCCTTTTATAATTTGAGACTAGAAAGTAGCCTTTTGATGTAGGTGAAATTTATTTATATTAAATTACATTTAAAGGTCCTTTATATTTTCATGATGTTCATTTTCATTTCTATATTATGCCGTCTGTTCTCACCTGTGAAAATATTTTCTAGATTGCAGAATAGAAATATGAATGATGGGCTGTTTCTCATGAAATGTGTATATATTTTAAATTAGTAAAATTATGTTATTGCAAGTATTTATGAAAAATTTTAATATTTTAAATACAAGAGTATTTGAAAAATTTTAATATTTTAAATACAAGAGTATTGTTGCTTTTATGTTTAGCCCAGTGTCTAATTCTTTTATTATAAGTATAAATATTTAAAAGTTTAATAGATGTCTTTTGTAGGCACCTATAGCCTGTTTTGTATCTTTAACTGTGCTTTATTTGTAAAATCAAACAACTTGATCAGAAAGGAACAATAAAATTCCTAGTCCAGAAAAGATTAAGTCAGATGCTGCTGTCTTCTATATTAAACTAGGTGAATGCCAAATATTATCATGCCTTTTCTAATGATATAAACAATAACCACGGTTTCTTCCCAAACGAATTTTTGATAGATTTAATATTAGATGTTGAAACTATATGTATGTATGACAGATTCTGAAATACTTTAAAATTCGGGTTGTAAATAACTGTTGTATCAGTTTTAGTACAACTAAAAAAGCATGAAATGAGATTAGAAACAACTACCATTCCAATTAGTTAAAGTTTTCTTAAATTTTGGTCTTTTTGTGTGTTCTGCCTTAATTATATCAGGCAAGATCAACAGCTCTCCTTACTAATACAAGCATTCAAATAAAATAGTTTACCTTTATCCAACAGTTTGTAGTTGTCGCTTCAAATATAAGGTGTGTGGAATAGTAGACTAATTCAGTTTTCAGGAAATATCTTCCTGTTGTTCAAAAAAATCATTCTTTATCTTTTTAAAGTATTTAAAATACCAATTAAAAATTTGATTTTTACTTATGCGATACAATTTTTTTTCAAATTGGTTAAATTATATACATAAACACACACTAATATATATATACACACACATTTATATTGATTCTGCATTTTCATTAAAGCTAAATGTTTTAGAAGCCATCCTTGTGTACTTGATGATTATGGACATTCCTAAAATCTTCATATCTTTCAATAATATAGCATATGAAATTTCACATTTTTGTCACGAGTGTAAAATATCGTTAAGTTCGATATCCAATATTTCATTTTATTCAACATGTTATGAAAACTTAAAATATATTGGGGGGTGGGACTGAGCTAATGTCTGGCTTTTGCCTGTATGGGGCTCAAGGCTTTTGCCAACAACAGGTGCATTTGACTGTTGTCCCTTCACAACCACACACAATGAATGTCATGGGCTTGTGCTGACCATTGTAATTGGAAACAGCAACAAACTTAAATTATTATGACCTAATTCATATGCATTATAAATCTTGCAGTATATTTTGAGTGCAATTTTTATGGTGTGTGTAGTCTTAGAGAACTACTTTTTTTTTTATGAAACTATTTTACTGTTATAGGTCTAAAATTATTAATATGAACTTATTTCAGTGCACAGTCACAAAATTTATGATAAATATATATTCTTCAATAAGTTTTTTAAACAATTAAATTTTGGCTATATTCTTTTAACTATTCATGCCTTAATATATATATACTTTAATCAACATATTCTAATTAGATTTGAGTTTTAAATATACTTTTTATTTGTAAGTATTCTAGTGATAATTTCATTGCACTTTATTTTACTTATGTTAAAAAATCATTTTCACTGGAACCACAGTATCACAGCCACTTTTAAGCAGAAGCATTAAGAAATTTCTTTTTACCTTGTCTATCTAATTTTTGCAGCTCAATGCCCAAACTTCTTGATCACAAAGGTCTCTTTTTTAGTTTGTTCTCCTTTCTTTACTTATATATATATATATATGGGCCCTAGGCTCAGTGGGATGTTTAATATTTCAGAATATTATTTTCATTAAGTTTTTTCATGATACTAACATTGAATTAAAAGTTACCGTAAACAGATGTCTGGAATGTATAAATATCTTTGTTTCTAACTCAGTCCTGTTTATGCAAGTTTAATGGGATTTTGCCATCTGTGGAGCTGCAGACTCTTTCAGTTTCACAGAAAATCCTGCTGTTGAAAAATGAGTTTATATTACATCTGTGTCTTAATAATATTTTAAATATACTTTTATTTTTCTTTGTGATACTTTTTAAAATAAACTTAGACCATGATTTTATGTGCACATTATATTTTAACTGTGCATTTTAGGTTGGGGATATATATGCTTTAATTGTGATTGGACATTTTCTTTGAAGGCATAAAACACATACAGGTTTATTTGTTGTTTTGTATTCATTGGTATATTACATTTTTTATATTATATGCAAAATATTTTATATTGTGATGAATGTCGGTCATAAATCGAGATATGAGGCTGAAGCAGATTTTACACATCTTGTCTAAAATATGTAAACAAATTACATACATCTATATCCTTTGAAAATGCTTTATATAGTTTCAAATTTTACTTTTGAATCCAATTTTTAAAAACTTTTTCCTTCATTAAATAATTCTTGAAGTATTTATGTTGATGGTAGGGAAGAATCAGTAAAAAGTTGATTATTTATGTGCCATAATCTTTATTACAGTTATCCTATTCCTAGATGATTTTAGATCCTGTCTAACATGCCCCCATTACTTAGTTTAAGCTATTATTAATTTATAGAAAGTTTTGAATTTCACTACTAGCTAGCGGAAGTACCCGATGCCAGTTAAGTTAGATTGAGAGTAACATATTATTTTACTCATGATATCATTTGACAATTTGTATAATAGCATATTACACATCATAAGGAATATAATGTGGCATTGTAATGCATACAAAATGCCAAAGAAAAAAAGTAATATTCAGTACATGTACTGCAACTAACTACATAATCATAGAATCATATGGTATATATACCCATATGACATATGGAATTGCCATTTGGGTCAGCAAAAAATACGATTCATAGTCATATATTTTTCAATCATCAGCAACAATGGCACTGATATCAGCACTGTTGCCACTGGGAAAAATGAGGAGAAAAATTAGCATTTGAAGTTTTTAAAATAATATATGCGATTTTAGCTATTTTTTATTTATTTATTCCCCCTCCTTTTTTTTTTTTTTGGGAAAAAAGTGGACATATTTTACATGTAGTTAATAATGAGTGATTTGAGATTTTATTAGATTTGGGGAAAATTAATTTTTCATATTAAATGTAGTCCTTTCATGTGATAATATTTGCTGAAAATTATTTGAGCATTTGTCATTCTTAACTGTTTTAATTCGAGAACTGCTGTAAACTAATTACACTTCCAATTCAGCACATTCAGTTTCAAAATTGGCCAAAATATTTAGATAAACATCTGCTCTTTATTTGTTGTAAAACGGGGGAATTGCTTGATTGTTTGTTTTGTTCTAATAGCATCTTCTCATTTAGCATCTTCTCATTTCTCATTTGGTGTAATATTTTTGATGTTATTCAAAAATGACCTTGACAATTTAATTTATTCCATTAAAGGATATTCTTGAGTTAATTAAAAAGAAGTTAATTCTGTCTTCAGTATAATATATTATGCAATGACTAACATAAAATTTCCCAAATTGGTTTCACATAACTTACAGAATTACCCACCCAAATAAATTTTGTAAAATTTTTTCTGAAGCAGTAACTCTTTTTGAAAATTTTCATTAAAATGCTATGTATCTCGGTAAGCTACAACTATTCTTAGTTATCAGATTCATTGTATGTGTACAGGATAGCTGCAAGCACAAACAGCTGCCTAGGGTGCCAGTTTTCTAAGGGCACCAGCCAGCTATTCTGTTCTGAAAAATGACTAAATATAGTTTGCTTTGAATTATTAATATGTTTAATTTATGTGGAGTGGCAACTGTACTGATTTCCTATGGTACTTGAAATACTAGAGCTGGACATGCATGCATGTATAAAATTATAATGGTATAAGCTTAAAGTATGTTAAAATGGTCAAATATATCACAGTATTTCATCATTTGGTAAAAGTCTAATAAATGTAGGTTGTTATGAGTGATAATGTTACTGATATCTGCATTATCATAAAACTTGATCTGGTAACAGTATTGGTCAGTAATTATATCAATAAAAATTTTTGATGCTGGGATTAGAAAATCTGCTTTTTAAAGTATTAGCAGTATTTTCTTTCAGTTGCAGTGGCTAGTTGCAGTTGTTTGCAGTTTACTAGTGGCTCGTAGACTGACTTTGAAAAAAAGAATTTTGAACTATTCTTAAGTAGGGTGACAGGTGCTGCTGTTATTATTTTTTTAACTCAAGCTATTTAACCTTTAGATTTTATAGTCTTTAGGTGGAAAATTTACTTAATTTCTGTTGAATTAATTGATTTGTTCAAAAATGGAATAGGTGAGGGTTCAAAAATAGATGGCATACCCACAATAAGTGGCACCAAGAGGCCTGAGAGAAATAAAATATGGTTGTTTTATATTAAATATGTAAACATATTTTTAAAAAACTGAGTTTTTTTAAACCATTTAACTGGAAATAAAGTTTATTATAAATAATGTCATTAAAACAGCTTTTGATTGTC